CCATCCCCGCCTCTTCGACCTGTTTGTTTCCTCTCCACCTATCCTCTCCTCTATCCCTCTTCTATCCGCCTCCCACTCTCTCCCTATTTATTTCAAAACCCCCTTCCCCTCCCCCTTTTCTGATGAAGGGTCTAGGCCCAAAACGTCAGCCTTTCTGCTCCTATGATGCTGCTTGGCCTGCTGTGTTCATCCAGCCCTGCACCTTCTTGTCTCGAGAATTAAAGGGAATACTGTTTGTGTGTATTGATTGAAATTGAAGAGAATAGTTTGTACATTATTTTTGCTACAATAAATAGATAAAAGAATGCTGATTTGTATTAAGTTGAGAGCAACCTGAAGACTTATAGAGTCATATAACATGGAAACAGACCTTTCGGTCCAACCAGTCTATGCCGACCATAATCGCAAACTAAACTAGTCCCATCTGTCTGCGCACGGCCCATATCCCTCAAATTATTTCTTATAGATGTACTTATCTAAATGTCTTTTAAATGTTGTAACTATATCCACATCCACCACTTCCTCTGGAAGTTCATTCCACAAATGAACCACTCTCTATGTAAAGAATAAACTGCCCTGAAAAGGCCTCACCAACGTCCTGTACAATCTCAACATAACATTTCAACTCCTATACTCAAAGGTCTGAGCAATGAAGGCAAGCATTTAATTATCTAATGTCAACGCCCAAGGTACTACATCTACTGTAACCAAATAAAACATAGTCAAGCATTCTACAAAAATGGGCTCTTATCGAATGCAGAAAGAGGGCACAGGGAGAGAAAATTTTCAGGCAGCAATTTGTCCGAAAGGCAATCATCCATGGTGCCTCCCTATTTGCAACAGAATGTTCTGGGCATGGAAAAACCTTATCTCTACACCAGCTGGAACACTACTAAACATCACAGATCCTCAAAGGACTGAACAAGACAACAGCACTTGGATGGGTTAATGTTTGCCTTGGGAATTAGAAACTAAGAAGGAAGTTGTGGGTTCACCTACCTGTAGCTGAATCATCCAGTGTGTTGTTCCTCATTCAACATACAACTACTTCTGCTGATAAGCTTTTTTGTAGAAACTTATAACACAATGGTAGCCATTTGACCCATCATACCTTTGCCAGCAATTTTAAAGAGCTATCCAATTACTTCCACTTCCCTGCTCTTTACACACAGGCTTCCATTTAAAAAAAAACAAACAGGAAAATCTTTAGGTCGAATGAACTTCAGAAGAAGATGCAATTTTCACAGTTCAACCACAGTCTATTGCACTGACATTTTGGAATTGATTTGCCTTTTTTCCCCCAGGCAATTCAAAAATTACTTAACCATTTAATGTTAGGTTTATGTGAACTCCTGTTGTAAGAAGTCCCAAAGGTTCAGTCTTGTGCTATTCCTTACTTAGAAGTCAAACTTGAAGGCTAATGAGCTGAATTGTATTGTCCCAGATCTACAGTTTTGTCTGCAAGCTTGTAGAATATTGATTCCATGTGGGCAAAGATACTCATGCAAGACAAACACATGAATTAGGAACACAAATAGGACATGAGGTATTAAACAAAAATTTACCGGACAAATAGATGTTGTCACCTGCACTGACAACACTGAAAAATTCCCTGTCATAGAACGGTAGACTGGCTAATGGGTACCATTTGTTGTTCTGGGGGTTAAAGCAGCTGACGGCTGTGAGATCACGTTGGCTCATTCCGATCATTTGGCGACCACCGACCAGGACAATCACTTCAGCCACACCTTAAAAACAATATACAATTACAGAAATAAGATGGATTCAAAACAAAGCAATCTTGCTTGAAGATGGAGAATTCCTTGAGTTCACAATTACATTGTGAATCAACAGTTCACTATTTTCAGGCAGGTTAAAAAAAAAATCACAGGGTATTTTTTTTGTTATGAATACAATGTTTATTGTTTGTTTAAGTTAAGGCAAAATGGAACAGTGATTTGGATCATGAGACCTGTTCCAAACGTTCAGAGGAATAAGAAATAATGGAAAAATTGTATCCGTACTGGTGAAACGAGAAGTGTAATGTGAGGTGTTAAGTCACCGTAGAGGTTTAATTCCTTTGTCTTGTTGGTAAGTCTTGTTGGTTATGCAGTCAAGGGGCTTCAAATTGACTTAGTCAGAGAAAGCGCTAGATATTGACACCTATAGTCATTTACAGAAGTAATTGTACAGATTGGACAGATTGTTAGTCTCCAAGTCTCACAGGGAGATGTTATGAATATCAGGCTTTATAAATGAGTCTACTTTTAAACTGCTTGTTTGATTCCATGATAGAATGGAGTTGGGGGTCTAGAAAATGGCTCAGTAGCATTCCTATCTGGATGCAACCCTATGTGATTCATCTTACCATGGAGAAGTGTTTTGGAGAAGGAAAATCAATGGGAAACCATTGTGATATTTGGTTATACTCTTCTAGCTGTATCACTGAATAACTCTATAAGAATCTGAGAGACAGCAGGAATTCAGAGGCAGCCAGGCATATGCTAGACCAGAGAGCACTCTGACTCTGTTGGTCACCATGCAAAGTGCTAGTAGGAACTTACACTGAGTTTGTGGAGCCGAAGTTATGGAAGAATTAGGGAAGGCTAGAACATTTGCCAAGCTTGGGTTAGGAACAGACATCTCCCTATAATGCAAGTAAGCATGTAATGTGACCCTTTTAATGCAAAAATGTTCTAGGATCAAAAGTTACCTGGTTGGGAAAGGAAAGAGGATTTAAGCCATGGGGAGCTGACAGTAACTTTGAACTGGGTTCTGGAGAATGAAGTGTTTACTTAGTGTATATGGAAGCATAACAAGTAGAAGGGGCAGCTCAGTGGTTAGCACTACTGCCTCACAGTGCCACAGGCCCAGGTTCGATTCCACCCTCAGGCGACTGTCTGTGTGGAGTTTGCACATTCTCCCCGTGTCTGCGTGGGTTAAGATGTGCAGGTTAGGTGGATTGGCAGTGCTAAATTGCCCATAGTGTTCAGGGATGTGTAGATTAGATGGGTTATAGGGATGGGTCTGGGTGGGATGCTCTGAGGGTCAGAATGGACTTGTTGGGCTGACACATTGTAGGGATTCTAAGGAGTTTTTAGGAGCAAATTGCTGCAGATGCTGGAATCTGTACTGAAAACAAAAAAAGCTGGAGATCACAGCAGGTCAGACAGCATCCATGGAGGGGGAGCAAGCTAATGTTTCGAGTCTAGATGACTTTTCATCAGAGGTGAAGGAGTTTTAGTTGTGTTAAAAACTAAATGGGCAATTTCTTGGCGGTAACTTAAACTATAAGCTGCCTCCTAGAGAAAGTTGCTTTTGTTTGTTTGTTAGAGAAAAATTCTTGAAATATTATTTGATCCTTTCAAATACCTTTATAAAGGTTACTGGTCTCTATGTGGATCGTAACAGTTTTCTGATCAGCAAAACCTATGTATAAATGCTCATATCCACGTACTTTATTTAAATAGGTGCTAAGCCAGTTCATTTAAATGATTTAATATTTGTTTAAAGTTGGGAGATGAACACAACACAAATACTTGCACCTGAGAGTCACCAACTGGGGAAAAGAACCCTCTATATCTCTTACTACATAGCTTCATTTGGAGGATTTTGGAATGGTAGGCCTTAAAGCTTTTATAACTCAATTGATGACAAACTACTAATGACAGCAGTTTATACAAAGGAATTAAACCTCTACGGTGACTTAACACCTCTCATTACACTTCTCGTTTCACCAGTACGGATACAATTTTTCCATTATTTCTTATTCCTCTGAACACAGAATCTTACTTTACGCTCAATTTAGCCTACGTTTCAATTTGTTACTGTGAAATTAAATGTAGTCCCCACAGACTGTCGTTCTCCAACTCCCCACAAAACCTGACTAATCTTTGTCCTTCCCCTTCTCCTTAAACAGGAATCAACAGAAACTGGTTTCGTGATATACCAAGTGGCTGTTCTTAAATACAACTTTTAACACATACTCTTGTCAGCCCATTGACCATGGTACAGAGGGCCTTGTACTCCAACTCACTTTCATTCAACTAACAATTTTGCACAGTTCTTCTCTATCCCAGGGACACTGAATACAGCTGCAATAACATTTCCTTGTGAGAATCAGGTCAGTGTTGACTAGGAATCAAACCCAGGATCTTCCATTTCACTCCATTGGCTGAGCTGTACTGCACATTTCTTCAAATCAACTTTGAACTATTATCAGAGTTTAAAAACATCTTATTCCTTTCTGTCACCTTGTTCTTATTTAAACAGTGAAACTGCAGCCTTTACAGAGAATGTGAAAGTCTACACTCAGGTCATTTAACAGTTGTGATCTGCAGGAAAACAACTGCTATGATGATGGAGGAGGGATTGTTAAGTGAAAATGGACTTTTATTTTGAGAGGGATGTAAATAGAAATTGAAAAGCAGTCACAGTAATTTGCTATTTAAGTTGGTACAAAGATGGTTGTGCTACAGCACTCCTGAAAGATGTTGACATGAACCAGAACAGAAAAAAGGAACAAGGTGAATTTCCCTTAATATCTTAGCAGGGATATCCAGTGGTTAACCAAGACAGTCACATCAGGCACTCAGCTAATTGATCTAAGCCAGTTTGACTTTAAGGACGTTGGTGAGGCCTCTACTGGAGTACTGTGTCTAGTTCTGGTCACCCAGTTACAAGAAGGATATTACTAAGCTTCAGAGTGTTCAGAAGACATTTATCAGGATGTTGCTGGTTTTGGAAGGTTTGAGTTAAAAAGAAAGGCTGGATAAACTGGAACTTTTTTTCACTGGAGCATAGGGGGTTGAGAGGTGACCTTATAGAGGTTTATAAAATCATGAGGGGTATAGATAGGGTTAATGGTAGTTGCCTTTTCCCTAGAATGGGGGATTTCAAGACTAGGGATATCATTTTTAAGGTGCGAAGAGAGATTTAAAAAACACATGAGGTACAAATTTTTACACAGAGGCTGGTTTGCATGTAGAATGAACTTCCTGAGGAAGTGGTGGATGTGGGCACATTTACAATGATTAAAAGACACATAGATAAGTATATGAATAGGAAAGGTTTGGAGGGATATGGGCCAGGAGCAGGCAGGTGGGACTGGTTTAGTTTGGGGTTATATGAACTGGTTGAACTAAAGTGTCTGCTTCCGTGCTGTATGACTCTAAGACTATGACTCTACAACCAGGTTTAACTCATCTCTATGCTAATGAGATTGAGGCAGGGGGATCTAAATCATATGTTGTTCATACAGATGTAGTAATTCCTAGCATTTCCTCTGCCCTTACTGAAACAGTTTTCACTGAAGTTACAATAATTTACAAAAGATTTGGAAGCAAAACCAAAAAATTTAGAGACCAGTCAATTCAAGTCTTTTCTAAGGACTTTCCAGATGGGTCCCGATCAATAACGTCAGTGACCTGAGAGTAGATTCCATGTGGATTGGGTATGGTTTGTAACACAGTTAGTGTTAGGGTTAACCTCATCGCAGATGAAAAAGCTTTGCAAAAGAGAGTAGGAAGGAGAGACAACGTGGCATTATGGTAGGAAAAAAAACTAAACACATGCTTGATTTTTAAGAAGTTACATGCTTTATTGCACGAGTCAACCGTAACTCAGAACAGCTTTCCATTGAGAAACATCTAGAGTAAGGGTCACCGGACCCGAAACGTTAACTCTGTCTTTTCCTTCACAGATGCTGCCAGACCTGCTGAGCTTTTCCAGCAACTTTGTTTTTTGTTCTAGAGTAAGTTAATTTGCCTTCTCATTGAGGGACCATAAAACTGTGCAGCCTTTAGCTGCTGGTTCTCATCTAAATGCCAGTGGACACTTTCAACTTGGAGCTACTGGCAGGGAGGATCAGGTCGCCCTTGGGTTGCTCGTGGTTTCTGGGCAGAGACAGTGTTTCAGGAGGATCTCAAAGAGGTTTGGTGGATGGGGACATGGGGAGAGGGAAAGGGTACAGTAGTGGGGAAAGCATTCTGGAGGAGCAGAAGATGCAACTCGCCTTGGGCAAGTTTTTGATGCACTCGGAGGCTTCCTTTATTCCACACACAGCTGTTAACCTTCTTCATTTTGCTGCTTCAGCGCTGGCTAAAATGCTATTGGGTCTGCTATTAATCCAACAGCAACATGATTTCCATTTATTCTTGAGGTCTGTCTTTACTTTAGACTAACATCTTATGTGCTTACTGGTTAACATCAGAGATACCGTGAAAGGACTGAGCTCAAAGTGGCTGAGGAACTGCTTATTTTAGCTGTTTACTGTGCACTTATAAATAAATACTTCACTTACTTATTTGGGTAAAGTCTCAGCCCCCCCACTAAATTCCATCAACTTCAGGGAAGAAATTTCAAAGAGTGCCTCCTATTTTGATGAATGGACATATCTCACAGAATTCCTCATCAGCCAGGTTGAACTGACTTTCTGTTGCGACAATGCTCTGGCTTTAAGAGGTGTATTTTGTCCTGGTTTCTTTTAAGCAAGAGGTTGAATGAGAGGTGTTGAGCTGACTGTTGTAACACAAACAACTTGTGAGGCCTTCGCATTTTTTTAAAGTTGGAACAATAGAAGCAGCCTGGATGGGTGTGACCAGCTCTCACAGACCAGGATTTCTAGGTGTTTTTTTTAGCTTTTAGATCTGGCAGATGCTGTTGGGGTCCTGAAGAAGTGGAAGCTATTTTTCCCTCTCTTGATTAGAGCCAAAAGTTGGGGGCTCGCTTCCTGGCTGCTGGAGTGCATGTGAGGCAAAATCGTTTTTCTGAAATTTGCCTTTTTTCCAAGGGTGTGTTTATGGATGTTACTACATTGGAACAGTTAAGTAATAATAGTTACTGTGTTTATTATTGTTAAGGGGTGGTGGGGGGGGGGATCAGGTCTGGTCCATAACACTGTTCGTAGCTGCACAGTACTTAGCTCTAAGTCACAATGTGCTGCCTTAAAAAAAAATCTTTCGAATATCAGATGCCAGTTATAGTTCAGCCTCCAACACCACTTATCTCACCTGTGTAATACACTCAAACTGTTGCAAAAAGTCTGATGTGTATGCTTTTCTTAAAAAAAGCTCACTTGCTAAATGATATTTAGTTCAAGCTGTATGTAGTTTTGTGTTTGCTAACTTGAATGAAAACGGACTCTAGAACTTCAGGGTCATAATCATGGAGTTCATTGACTTTAACCTAGCCGAGATATATAAGGGGGTGGGAAGTTCCTGTCAGTTACTTGCTTGTCAACAGGCAATCTCTGAGAAGCCCAGTAAGTATAACACTGAGAACTGGGTCAGACTGAAAACATAAGTTTCCACAGATGAGCAAAAGGAAACATTTTAATGTGCTCCCAATTATCTGTCATTCTAAAGGTTATCCTTTGAACCTCGTACAACCTTGGCCACAATAAAACACTTCTGCATGTTCTAAAGGCTCAGCCGAAATCCTCGTTGGCTAAAGTCCTACCTGCAGATAACCTTGGCCGTGTCCGAGGAGTCTGCATTTCCTGTCGAGCATGCGGCAGCATGTGATAGCGTTTTGCTTCATTTACCAAGTCTCGGCAAGCCTCTGAAGACTTGATCAATTCCTCATTGTCAACCACATTTAACAGATAGCTTGGATGAATAAAAGGCAAGCGGACCACAGCTAGCAGCTCAGACAAATGCTGAAAAGAAAATGCATTCTGTTGTCAAGCAGAAATCAGTGAAGGAAATAAAAGCCTACAACCACAAGTCTGATACTGTGGGGAAGCTACACGTTGGGAAGGAGATTAACCTCAAGTTTGTTTAGATTTAAAATACCAGCCAGTTTCCATTATATTATTTGTGTGGAAACAATGTGTTATACTCAACTGAACATATGCAAACACAAGGCCTCAGACAAATGATGAAGCATATGTTCTGCGGATTTGTGTCTCTCACCATATTAAATGACTGACCCATTACAGGAACACACTCAAAGGCTCCTTCCACCTCGGTTATACCCGCTTCCACCCTCTTCCGTCAGGCAGAAGATACAAATGTTTGAAAACACGTACCAACAGATTTAAGAACAGCTTCTTCCCCGCTGTTATCAAACTTATGAATCGACCTCTCATATATCAAATTTGATCTTTCTCTGCACTTCTCTGTAGCTGTAACTCTATATTCTGCATTCTATTCTATTACCCTGAAATATGTAAGGTATGATTTGTCTGGTTAGCACAGAAAACAATACTTTTCACTGTCTCTCGGTATAAGTGACAATAATAAATTAAATCAGAATGGACATTAAGACAGCAGGTCAATGCAGAGTATTTAAAGCATAGATTTCCAATGTCATCTCAAACTGGGAAAACTACAGTGGTAAGAAAAGTATTGATGATCTGTATACCAAAGCCAGCAGATTTCCTGGCAGATTCTCCAGCATCTGCAGTTCCTACTATCTCTGATAGCTCTCTGCTCCTATGATGCTGCTTGGCCTGCTGTGTTCATCCAGCCCTGCACCTTGTTGTCTCGGATTCTCCAGCATCTGCAGTTCCTACTATCTCGGATAGCTCTCTGCTCCTATGATGCTGCTTGGCCTGCTGTGTTCATCCAGCCCTGCACCTTGTTGTCTTAGATTTCCTGGCCAATCTGTTCAACTACAGTGATGTTAGATACATCCATTGAAATGTTGTCAAAGATTTCTCATTGCTATTGCAGTTGGTGCAGATTCACCGGGATACAAAGGGTTAAGTTATACGGGAATATTGCACAGACTAGGCTTGTGTTGAACTAAGTATAGAAGAACAAGAAATGATGTTATTCAGGAATTTAATATAATTAAATGATATAATATGATAGGGAGAAACAACCTTCTCTGTTGGGGGAGTCCAAGACAAGAGGCACAACCTTAAAATAACAATTCAGGAACCAACTCTTCACACAGAGGGCAGTGGAAATCTAGTCTCTCTTCCCGAAAAAGATACGGAGGAAAGATTGATCGAAAATGTCAAAACTGAAATTGATGGACTGTTAGGTATGGGTATTAAGGTTTACAAACCAAGACAGGTAGTTGGATCGAGGCCTTCAACACAACTCCTAGTGTAAAGATTAAGGGTGACCCTGCCCCCAGTCAAGCTGGCTCATCCCACAGCCATTTAATATCTATTAATTTGGCTGTTAGCTTGGTCAAGGTACAAACTCTCCCCTTGTTGGTGGGCAAGTCCTGTCTTCGAAAGCTGCCACTCAGGGAGCCTAGAAGGAGGCATTTCGATTCACCAGCCAATCAGCCTGGACACTTGGCACTGCCCCTGCTCCCCACTCCCAATACAGTCTGAGCATGGCAGGAGGTCTGTAGTGGTGCTCCCCCTCTTCCGCTACAGGAATGTTATAACAAAGCTTGCAGTCATTCAAGAGGTTCACCACCTTCTCAAGTGCAACTCTAGAACTGCTTTCCTGCATCACCCGTGCAGCACAGACACATTTTAAAAAGAGAGACTGGAGGTATCAGAACTATTTCAGAAAAGATTTAAATGGAGGTTTATGAATTTTGAGCACGTCCAATGGGAAGACACTGTTTTATTTGGCTGAGGGGAGGGGTGGTGGGGTCAATGAAACAGAAAGATGAATTTAGAAAATAGGTCAAATGCATTTCAACATTGATATTGCAGGAGCGTGAAGCACTTTAGCAGCAGTGGAGGTTGAGGTAGAGTACATGTTTTTTTTAAACAGAAACGTCAGACAAATATTTTAAGGAGAGGAAGGTAACAATTTATGAAGTGAAAACGGTGTATAGGCTAGTATGGTATGGGCTGAATGGCCTTTCATAACATCTATAGTTCTCTGACCCAGTAAACCACTCTATCTATGAAGCGTCATTTTCTTTACTTTATTTTCACTTTGATAACAATTTAAACCACTACACTTCACTGTATTACTTTGTTTACTTGTAAATTCCTCTGTGTCACCCACTAATGGTAGCCAGCTATTGACTTGAATCTGGAATAGTTAGATATTAAAGGTTATCTTCTGTGGGCAGTATACTTCTGGTAACGTGTGAAAGACCATCTGTACTTGAATGTTAATGGGAAACAAAAATCAATTAGAGTTTACACAAGACGGGAAGGGTAGAACTCCATTCATTGGTATTGCTTAAGAAACTACTTAAGAAACAGCTAAACTTTATGTGTGGACATATTTCATCTTATTGGCTTGTACAGGGATGAATAATCACCTCGAGAAAAGTAGCATGAAACTGCTTTTGCTATGATTAACTGATTGAATATTCATTAGACATTAACCCACAAAATAACTATCAGTGCACTCGGTGAACACTGGAAGAACTTGGTAAATAAACAGTTGATAAATAAGCAGTAAGAAACTTTAATTTAATTATATTTAGACTAGTCCAAATGGGGAGTTGAGGGTGAATCAGGTCAAGCAGAGGGTTAATAGACAGAAAATAACTGGAGTAAAGTGCAAGTGATTTTAAATTGGATTAAGGATGTGAAAGGAGCAGGGAAAAGGGACGTGGGGAGTAGCAAGGTCAGGGGAAAAAGTAGAAGACTGAAAGGCAGGGTAAAATCAGGGTGGGGAATGGGAATGTTTCACGAATGTAAACCTATATGAAGGGAAGGGAGGAGAAGGTGGATCAGAGGTGAGGTGAAAGAGAGAGACTGTTGGAGGGATAAAGGATGGGCGAGGAAGAGAAGGCAGGAATGGGAGGGGAGGGGAAGCAGTTGGAGAAGAATGGGAGGGATGGTGAGGAAGAATGAAACAGAGTGGCAGAGGGGAGATGAGATACAGGAGGGGAATAGATGGAGTAGACAGCAAGGTGGAGAGGAGGCCAGACAGGAGGAAGGTATAGAGGAATGACGCGGAGGAGAGGAAAGAGGAGGCAGGTTGAGCAGGAGAGGAAGGGGAGACAAGAAAGAGACGAGGGAAGAAAAGGAGAGGGAAAAAGAAGGGAGAAAGAAAAGGAAGGTGCAGTGATTATAATGAGGTCAGCCAGGTGGATGTCGTAGAATATGAGTTCCCTGATTGGGGTTGTTAACCTGGTCCAATCAGGGAGCCCTGGCTGACAGACATAAACAGGAATGTCAGAGGTTCCGCTCACTCTGAGAGTGGATCTGATGAATCCAGACCAGTGTCAAGGATTCTACGCGTAAATAAAGGGTGGCTTGGTGATGGGATACCGACCTCTGTGGAATTATTTCAGAGGGGAGAGGGAAAAGGATGGTAGGGTGGACAAGGCAGTGCATCCTGGTGTGAGTGAAAACTGTGTGATGGGAACAGAGAATATCCGGCTAAGCTAACAATTACTACTGGCTGAAGAAATTATTTAGGTTCGGTTAGTTTTGGTGTTGACTGGGGAGAATACATGCTGTTGAGTAATTTATGTCATAATAATTCAAAGACACTCTGAAAAGGTCAATTTTGTGAAAATAATAAAACATAGCTACTGTTGATCTTTGTTACTTGAGACAAAGTTGATTCAAAATCAGTGGTCAGGATATGGAAATTTATCATGTGATTAATTGGCATGTGACAGGCTTCTGTGATTGAAAAGTGTGACTAAGGGCCGAATACTCTCAATGTGGAAAACTCTACTAGATTGCCATCTGGAGGTAAGTGCAAATACAACAGAGTGACAAAATAAACAGGTCTTTAGGGCTACTGGCAGCGAAGAGGCCATATCCATTTCAATAATGGATATCCAAGTTTAAAATGAGTAACTGCATGCAATAAATGTCAATCTCCAGTTCAGCTGTGAACAGCATTTTTTATATATATATATATATATATATATAATTTAACCCATGTGATGAATTTTTAATGAACACTTTCTAACACATTGCATGGATCAATAAAACGACACTTCATACTCAAACAGGGAAAACCTGTCACTAGCAAGCCACTTGCCTAAACTGCAACAGTCTATCCGTTTTAGGTAGACACACAGTGCTATTCAGAAGGGAGTTTTAGGGATTTGCCCCAGCAACAGTGAAGGAACAATAATAGAGTTCCAAGTTAGGACGGTGAGTGGCATGTGTTCCTCTCATTCTTCTACATGGTATACACTGCTTGTCCTGTGCATCAGTGATGAAGGGATTGAACGTTTAAGGTAGCGGATGAGGTGCTGATCGACTGGGCCACCTTGTCCTGGATGGCGTTAGCTTTCTGAATGTTGTTGGAGCCGCAAGAATCAAGACAGTAGAGATTATTTCATCACATTCCTGACTTGCCACAGAATCCTAAGCCTCTTGTTACTATATGATTGATCCAGCTAAGTATCTGGCAAACAACAACTGTCCAGGATGCTGGTAGTAGGTTCTTTAGCAATGGCACTGCCACTGAATATCATGGTGAGATGGTTAGATTCTCTTGACTTAGAGATGGTCAGTGCCTGGCCCTTGTGTGGTCTGAAAATCACTTGCCACCTATCAGTCCAAGTCTGGGTATTGTCTGGGTCTTGCAGCCTCTGGAAAATGGTTAATTCTTGCTTACAGAGACAATAAAGATAGCTAATGCCGGAACTGAAAATAAATCTCACAAGCAAACAATCATTGTGTTCTGAAATTAGAACAATTAACCTCTATTAAGGCTGTGCAAAAGGTACTATGCTCTGCAAATGAATATGGTTTATCTAATTGGTCATAAAAACATCTCATCAAGCACCAGCAGCATTTCTTCTAAATTAATGAAAAAAAAAACGATAACACAATGAGTGTTTTGTCCAAAAGCAAATTTGATTTCAAAGCAATTTTAAATATGGTAATATAGCACAAATTCAACATATCATTACTATAGTGGAAAAGCCTACATCTGCACTGTAAAATTTTATGATTCTATGGTTTGAAAGGTGCTCAGCATTGTACAAACATGAGTGAGCATTCCCACGTCGGAAGGAATGATGAAGGGAAGGAAATTGTTGAAGCAGCTGAGGATGGTTGGGCCTTAGATACAATCCTGGGAAACTCCAGTTCTGATAAGTTCCCATTTTAAGCAAGGACCTTTGCAAGATATTTCAGAATCTGAATAAGAAAAAAAAAACTAGACATCTCACATCACTACAACTGTCCCCAGCAAGGGACATTGGTCTGGATTCTACCGTTAGCATTATAACTCTGCAATTGGGATGAAGTGTGGGTCTTGAGCCCACACTTGCCAACAGTAGGATCTTTGAATTGGCCAAGTACAGGACCACTATCCAAGTAAGGATGGCAGCTGTGAGATATGGAGCCAATCATGAGGTTACAAGGGGAGGCAATGGCCTAGAGGTATTATTGTTGAAGTGTTAATTCAGAGATCCAGATAATGTGCTGGGGACCTGAGTTCGGGTCCCACCATGGCAGATGGTGGAATTTGAACTCAATAAATATCAGGGATTGATGATCATGAATCCATTGTTGATTGTCGGAAAAACCCATCTGGTTCACTAACGGCCTTTAAGGAAGGAAACTGCCATTCTTACCAGGTCTGGCCCACATGTGACTCCAGTACCACAGCAATGTGGTTGACTCTAAACTGCCCTCGGGGCAATTATGGATAGGCAATAAATGCTGGTCTAGCCAGTGATGCCCACATCTCATGAACGAATAAAAAGAAATCGGAAATCTCAGCAGCAATCAATATGGAAATACTCACATAGAGGTAAGTTTGAATTAAAATTCAGGCTGGCTGAGGGAAGAAAGCTATACCAATAACATGACACATCTCTTAGGGTGCATTCTTAGAACTGCAGGACTGCTTTTTCTGAAACAGCTCTCTGTCTGGGGCAATAATGTCTGTGGCTCCGATTAACCATTAACTATTTTTCTCATTCAAAAGACACACCTGTGTTCTGTTTATTGGATCCTTTTTAATCCATTTAATTACAGCCTCGTAAACAAGTTCTTCAGCCTTTGTGTTCAAGTTGTCATTGGAGAGAAATGCAATGAGATCGTCCTTTGAGACATTCAGAACTTCATCTTGGGTTGTTACTTCTGGAAAGTTTTGCAGTGCATAGGCTTTTGCCATGTTGTGTAGTTCATTACACTGCATAGCTTCTGCCATGGCTAGTATTCCTAAGCAGTTATTGGCTGTTAGCTGTTTCTCTGAAAGAAAAATAAAACACACATGAAAGGGTGTTAGAAGCAGCTATGAAAGGTTTCTTTTCTAGCTACACACTTCACATATTGAACATATTACGCACATTAATTATAAAGTTTTCAGTTCGAAGTCTTCTGGACCATCCAGATCCATCTATGCAGCAATAAGGATTTCCCTTTACTGCATACATATACCATAAAACATACATTGCTAGTTCCTGTTGCTCAGGTTATGATAAGGGCAGTGTGTATACCAATTGTGAGGAACCGCTTTCTGTGGTTTATGAGGAACTGCTTTCTGAGTAGAGTTCCATTTACTCTTAATGGAGCAATTATCTACAAAAGCAAACTCCACAATCTAGTCCTTGTATCAATTTTGTTTGGAATCTCGTTGTATAAAGGAAAATAGAAGGTCTTTTTCTTTGCAGCTGAGCTTTTTCTGCAGAAATGTGCAATCTGGTGACATTGCTCCTGTCACATTGCACATTGCTGCACCTGTGCATTGCTATCAGTCTGTTCACTACAATTTCAAGTTATATGGAACTGTTTGCATATTATTAACAAACCATAACTTAACTATTGTCGTTCTTGAATTTTATTGTGATTTTATTGTTATTTTATGTATTTAGAAGCACCGTTTTTCCAGCTGAAAACAATAAAACTGGTTTTACACATATCAGTAACACTCATATCCTGGCCTGTGGGTTAATATTTGCACACCTCCCATTTTATCTGGCCTTTGGTTCCACTGCTGCTTGAAGTATCAATGATCCTTCTCATACAGGTTGCCCCAAAAAAGGAATATTGGCAAAGGTTAGCTCCACTCACTGTCCCACCACTGAGTGAAAGCAGGCAAATATTATTACAAATAAACTTTTAAAATACTGGAATTGCTCAGCAGGTCAGGCAGCTGGCAGCTGGGAGGGAAAAATGGTGTTAATATTACAGACTGCTGGCCTTTCTTTAGAACCTTTTCAAACAAAAGGTTGTTGATCTGAAAGTTAACTCTTTCTCACTCCACAGATGCTGCCAGACCTGCTGAGGATTTTCAGCATCTACCAGCTTCGGAACATCTGTAGTATTTTGTTATAGTATTACTGGGACGTGCGGCTTTCTGAGCATATACAGGTCGATTGAAAGAACTCTAGCAAACTAAGCTTCAACAGACTTTTTCACACTGTTGTGAATTTGTTGTTTCTCTTCCTGTGGGAAAATGCAAGCTTTCTCTCAAAAACTATTCAGCCAGGCATGCTTGAAATCAAAGGCCGATTGCATGGTTACATAATTACTTAATTTGCGCAGTATTTTGTTGTACTCTCAAGAGTAGCCCTTGAATGACAGTTTGGGATTATGGCCCTTTGTGACAATTCAATGCAGATCATCAAGATATCCTTAAACTGGACGTTAAATTTTCGAGTCTCCTGTAGCTATGGTAGAAGACTGGGTTCCTCATGGAATTTTAATGTCACTGTTTATAAATTAATAGTAGCATCTTATAACTTTCAACCATTTATAGATATTAATTAATTTTGTTTGAAACCAAAACAAGACTCAATTACACAGCTGAAAACTACTGTAACAACGCAATCAAGTTGTTAATAAGGGTGAACTAATCATAAGAAATTAATTGGACTTTGCTGACTACTCCTCAGTGTTAAGGAGTGTGCATCGGGTAGTGGCAAAGGATTAGATATTCTCCATTTAAAAAATGACAGTAATGCAACTCATGATGTGGGAACACTGTATGGAAACATAACAGCAAGATCCATTGTAGTATACAATGCAGTTGCTTTGTAAAGAAAGTAAAACTTTCAGCTGAAGACAGACTATTAGAATCATAGAATTCATACAGTGTGGAAGGAGGCCATTTGACGCGTCCCTTCCACACGGACCCTCCAAAGATCATCCCACCCAGACCCATCCTGTACCCTATCCCCGTAACCCCACATTTCCCATGCCCAATCCACCGTAATCTGCACATCTTTGGACTGTGGGAGGAAACCAGAGCACCAGGAAGAAACCCATGCAGACACACAGAGAATGTGCAAGCTCCACATAGTCACCAGAGGGGGAATCAACCCCAGGTCCCTGCTAACCTTTTAGCCACTGTGCTGAATATTACTGGCGTTGACATGCAGCTGATAAGGACAAAATCAGTGTTAACTCGACTGTTACAGTAAGGCTGTTGCATCAGATATGTTCAGCAAAAGATGACTTTTTATTTGTTGGAGTCTCCGAAGTTAGCTCAAGTGTTGCTTATTGTTTTATATTAACCAATGTATTATAAATGAGAAAAGTTTACGTTGTGTTTAGACACTAGTTACTTTATCAATCGTATTTAGGTTCACTGCTTTCTGCAAACTTTTCTGCATTTTGGAAGAATTTTAATTAATCTTGAGAAATAACTGGAATACAAGTCATTATTTAAATGAACAGTTCATAACAGAGGCCGCAAATAGCTCATGGACACAAAGATCTCATATCAGAAATAGAACCAAGCATGTCTAAAAATGGTTAAGCTACAACATAGGGCTACAATCACATGAAACATTATGAGTCGATTTCTACAGATTAAACTCTTGGGAGACTGTATGTGTGGAACTTGCATATTCTCCCCGTGACTGCGTGGGTTTCCTCCCACAGTCTAAGGATGTGCAGGTTGGGTGGATTGGCCATGTTAAATTGCCTGTAGTGTCCAGGGACGTGCAGGCCAGTTGGATTAGCCATGGGAAATGCAGGGTTACAGGGTGCAGGGTGAGGGGAGATCTGGGTGGGACGCTATTTGGAGGGTCAGTGTGGACACGATGGGCCGAATAGCCTGGTTCCACGCAGTAGGGATTCTATGATTCCATTAAATTAAACAATCTTATAACCAATGGATTAGGTCAAACCCTGCAGCCCTGCCACATCCTGTTGCAAATGATGGTGATGAATTAAACTTAAAGGAGGAGGAGGATCCATAAACTTCTTCATTCTCAATGATTCTTAGTGGAGTTCAACAAGTAAAAACAAAAGACAAAGCTGAAGCAGTCTCCGCCATCTTCAAGCAGAATTGTCTGCTGGCTGACCCATTTCAGCTTTCTTGATATTCCCAACATCAATCTTTAGCCAATTTAATTCTCTTCACACGATATCAAGAAATCAAGAAATGCTTGAGTGCAGTGGATATTGCCCCGGCAACAACCCAGCTGTAGTAGTGAAAACTTATAATGCTAAAAGCGTTTGCTCTAGAATGAACTATACTTCCAGCCAAGCTGTTGCCTACAACCACCTATGTGGAAAAAGTCAATTAGCCCAATTATCACCAAATTTCAACCAAAGTGATGGAAGGTGTCATTGACAGGTGTATCAAGCTGCAGTTTCCCACGAGTAACCTGCCCACTAATGTTTAATTGGGGCTCTGCCTGTACTATTCATCTCTAGAAACAAAAAAAACCCAAAGGACTGCAAATGCTGGAAATCAGAAACAAAGTCAAAAATTACTGGAAGAACTCAGCAGGTCAGGCAGAATCTGTAGAAAGAAAGCAGAATTAATGCATTGGATCCATTGACCCTTCTCCACAACTGGCAGTATTTAGGAAAAGGTTGGTATACATGCTGAAGGTGGGCGGGTTAGGTTTAAGAGGAGTAAATGTAAGGTGGAGATGGAGCCTTCCTGAAGACTTTGATGCCTTACTTTGGATGAACTCCCATATTTCTCCCAACTGACTATTACCCATGTGTAACCTTTGACAATTTCAGCAAACTATTTAACCACTGAAGACGTCACGTGCAAGTGGAAGATTTTGTTTGCCTGATATGCACAACATATACTTCTAGCAAACAGGAACTTAGGCCCATATTCCTATTTCTAAATGAAGTGGGTATAGGCTAATTATAGTAATTGAAAACTGGAAAACTCTCCTTGCCAAAAACTAAAGGGTTGAAGCTGAAACAATTGAAATTTCAAATCTTCCAATAATATATTTTTGTTAGGCAGGGGTGCTAAGTGTTACAAAGGTAGGTAGGTAAAATTCAGATACAAAGCAGTTATGATCTACCTGAATGATGGAAGAAGCTATTGATTTGTTATATTTCTCTGTGTTACCTTAATTATGGATATGTACTCTTGATATTCAAATTCAATGAACTGATTCTAATACCTGAGACCTTCAACAGACTGAGAAAGTCTTTGAAAAGAGAACAAATAATGACGAAAATTGGCTGTTGTAATCACATCACCACAGATTGTGTCAATGTCCAGAGAATCGAAAAGGAATGCATTAATCCAGCAGTACGGAGATTTCCATTCCATTCAGCCAGAGTGAAACTGGACAACTAAGTCTTTGTCAAGAAGTCTGCATCTCTTGTTTAATTCATGCTTGCATGTTAAGTTCAAATACTGGGAGATGAAATATTGCCTGTGGAGTGGTCAGCTTGGAAAGACTAGAAAAGGGAAAATACAAACTAACCATATTTCAGGAACTTGTTTGTCAGAGCAGAGACAGGAAATGAATAACAGATTCATAACAGAATTTGGAAGAGCTGCTCTCTCTCTCTTTTTCTGTCTCTCCCCTCATGCATTAACATTTCTCAAAAGAAGTGGAAAAGAACTTTGGAAAACAACCATTCCTCGAAAACTTTGGGATTCTACAAATTTTACTGATGCTAAGGAAATAAGACATTGGATAAACAACCATGACTTTAAAAGTGTTAAATTATCTGCTGTTACCTTCCTGTTTGTACTAGATACTCAATTCATGATAAAGTTATTACCAATCTTTGTGTGTCTGTTTGATGTCATGTTTTACTACTCTTTCAATGCCAGTAGGTAATTTAAATTTCTCTTTCTTTCAACCAAACAACATTTGGAATTAGTTCCTTCATTTTGACCTAATTAACTACACTTTCTTTGTGCTTAAAAAAAATTTTAAAAATTATGACCAGCTCAGTAGGATAAAAAGAGGGGAACCAATTTCACCCACTTACCTGGTTGTAATATGTTTGTAGCCCCAACAGAAGCAAATAAATATTATTTAACTTGAACACCTGACACAAAACTAAAACATTCTTGGCCAATGCGGTTCAGTCATTACTCAAAATTGTTGAGCCACTGCAACCACATTAACAGTTTCTGCATTGCATAAACATAAATTATTACCACATGCACTTGCGTATTCTTAATTTTTACTTACCTAAAAATGAAACACAAACTTTGCAGAAAGTTCGGAACTGGAATTTACTGGCAGCTTCCAGTAGCGTTTTTGCATTTCCAGAATTGATGATGAGTGAGCCAGTATAAACAAACTCCAGCAGCATTTCCAGCACATCTGCATTTATATTTGAAATTGTCAACTCCAGCTTCTCTCCATTTTTGTTGTCCTTTGAAGCCCTAATAACAGCAGGCAATAAATGAGAAGTTAGATCTGAATTCAACTCCTTATATACTTCAACGTAAAGGTGGCTCCTTTTATCACTCCTCATACTTTGCATTAAAATGTTCTACTATTCTCTTAATAAGTGAGCTGAAAGAGAAAAAGTAAGCATTGCTCAGCACAGAACACATTGTCATGCAAAAAATTATTAAAAATAGAATAAGCCAACGTAAGGATGAAAGATGCAATAATTGCTCATAAACAAAAACTGAAGCCCTAATGACGCAGATTTATAAACTGAAGAATTTGGAAACAAAATGGTTAAAGCAGAAAGGGGGTAAAAGGTCTAATTCTGCCACAGGAAGCCAGCAGCCATCCTTTTGGAGTTCCATGACTGTGGCCTAGGCTGTCTGTTAAATAGGTGTTCCCCTGTATAAAGCAGAACACTGAGGTTTCAAATGGTCCTGTATCTTAAATGTATGTTTAGTCGCGTTAATTTAGGAAGACAAAGTTTTACATCAAACATACCTCAATGGCATCTGTAAATAAGAACCCTGTTAAAATAATAAAGATCAGAATCGGTTTACACAAAGAAAAACAGTGTTAAGCATGAACGAGCATCATACGAAAATCCTTTCAACAATCTGCCTGTATTTAATTTGCACAACTGGTTCTGCAATTTTTAATTACAAAATTCAAACAAATTTTGCTTCCAATTCTAGTTGTAGATGTCTCCAACTTCCACTTGCTCCATAATTGCTTCTTGCGTATGTAGAGCTATGTGGAATGTTACCCAGTTTTGGTATTATATTAAGATATAACCAGCAAAGTCTAGCCCAAGCTTGGAATGGCTTCATGAATATGAATGACAAATGTCTGAAGTAAAACTCTCTAATATGCATTATTACCATTTCAATAATATTTGTATATTAATTGTGAAACAAATGTGGAAATTAGCCTGTCATCTTATTTCCAAACATTACAAAACTTCTTTAAATGAAATATGGGAAAAGATTGGACTACAGATAGAATGTGCTTAAATTTCAAGCATTTCTACAATTGCATTGTATCACATAGAAGTTCTATCCTCTAAAAACACTGTCTTGGTGCTAATGTGTGACAACGATGTTTGGAGAAAAAAAAACTTCTGGCAAATCTAATTTTAGACACTTTACATAATATATTCAGGACGGTGGTTGGGGGGGTGCGGTGGGGGTGGGTGGTGGTGTGGATTAGCAAAGCATGACTCCTTTTCAGCTCTGGAATCACCCAGACCAGATAGGGAGGTCCAGCACATACCCACTCCCCAACAGAGCCATAAGTAATTTCCAGGCTGGAATTGGAAGTCTGGACATGGGACAATCTGGCTGATTTTGGAAATTGGCAGCCAGAAGGCTGTAAAATATTCATGAGGAAAGGACGAAGGAAGGGATAAAACACTGTATATTTACATTTTTCAGATTGCCCTCAGGGTAGGGGGCAGAATGCCAGCTGTAACTTTATTTTGGTGCCCTGCTGAAATGAAACAGGAATCTGAGAATATCTTTTCCCAATGGATTCGTCATTGCACTGGCTTCGTACTATTGCAGGTGCAAGGTGGGCTCTGTTGTGCAAAGAATATCCTAGTAATGCTAAGGGGCACAGATCCACAGATGCGATCTAATATCCCACATTGTTGCACCAGGGAAACTGTATCCATGGTATCAAGGGTGACTTGTTAAAACTCTTTCACAAGAAGTGGATATTGCTGGCTATGCCAGCATTTATTGCCTGTCCCTAACTGCCTTTGAACTGAGTGATTTGCCAGCTTATTTCACAGGGTGACCAAGAGTCATCCATGTTGGTGTGAATCTGGAGTAATGTGTAGGCCACATCAGGTAAGGATGACAGATTTCCTTCCCTAAGAGCCATTAATAAACCAGATTGGTTGCAACAAAGAACAATGGTAACACAGTCATTATTAGACTAGTTTATAATTTCAGAATTTCTTAATTGAATTGAAATTTCATCATCTGTCATGGTGGGCTTTGAACTCTGGATTGCTAGTCCAGTGACATTGCAACTGCACCATCATTTCCCAAAAAAAAAAACAGCCACAGACTGATTGGGAGCAGGTGATGTTGACTGGACTTCTTTTTTGAAGAGCTGAGTAAAGGCCCTCTTGTACTGCAGGGGTAATGCCCCTTAACCATAGACCAAAAGACCCAGGTTCAAGTCCCACCTGCTCCAGAGGTGTGGAAATAACATCTTGGAGCAAGTTGATTTGGAAAAATAGGCTAAATATAAAAAAAAATCTTAAAGAGGAGAGCTCTTGTGGCCAGGAGGCCTGGGTTCAAATCCCAGCTGCTCCAGAGGTGAGTCTTAACATCTGAAGACAGGTTGATTAAAAATAATCTGCAGGTGAAGACAAGTGTCCTATGAATCTACCATATTAACAAACACGGAGTGTCTGTCATCACTATGATTAAGTGTTATGTTAGATGATAAAGAGTAGCAACATGGAGAGAATTGGTAATTTTGATCATCTTACATTTCAACCAATGTGCTTTTAGAAAAAGGCTGAATTCCGCTTAATTGACTAATTGGTGATTTGTTGGTGCGGTTTTTGGGAAAAGAAAGAGCTGAGTTCTCTCCTCCTGAAGCCTTTAGAGATAGGTGTACATCATTCAATCAGTGAATCAGTGAATCAGTGCATTATCTTCCCCTCAAACATTATTTTGATTTAGCAACATCCCATCCTTGTTTTCCCTCTTTAGTTTTTGATTTTCTTGGATCCTTATCACACTGCCTGTGGTGTGCAGTGTTTGTTGTTTGTTATTTGTAAATTGTCGTTTGGGTTTTGTTTTAAAAAAAAAGTGGAAATACCCCCACCCACCACCTCCCATTGGGGGTTGGTTTCTGAGCACAGTATGTGTCCAGGAGGGAAAGGTGGAAACTGATGTTGTACCCTTGTAAACCTTAGGGTTATCAGCTGCCTAATTTAATATATCAGTGTACAAGACAAATACAGCTAAGGGATCAAACTGGGATTATGAATTGTGTTTAATACAGTAAGGTGGAAACAAAAACTTCTCAAAAAAGAACAGGCACTGATACAGAACATTTAAAAAAAACATGCAGCACTTAAGCAAATTGTTTTAAGGAGGAACACAGGATAGACGTCCAAAACATTCCATGTTAAAATTGTCTTTGGAATTTAAGGGTTGGCTTTTCTCTGTCTATGCAAAAATTAAGGTCAATACTTTAGATTTCTTGATTCACGTTCATAGATTCATACAATTTCTACAGTGTGGAAATAGGCCACTCGGCCCAACAAATCCAAACTGGCTCTCCAAAGAGCATCCCACCCAGATCCCTGTAACCCTGTATTTTCCATGGTTAATTAGAAAAAAAGTCATAGAATCACAGAATCCCGACAGTGTGGAAGCAGGCCATTTTGTCCACTGATTCCACACTGACCCTCTGAAGGGCATCCCACCCAGACCCACCCCCCGGCCCTATCCTGTAACCCTGCATTTCCCATAGGTAATCCACCTAACCTGCACATCCCTGGGCACTGCAGGCAATTTAGAACGGGCAATCCACCTATACAGCGCACCTTTGGACTGTGGGAGGAAACCCGGAGCACCCGGTGGAAATCACAGATATGGGGAAAATGTGCAAACTCCACACAGACAGTCGACCGAGGGTGGAATCAAACATGGGTCCCTGGTGCTGTGAGGCAACTGTGCTCATCGTGGCGAGGCTCAGTGACTGGAATTTGTTAGCTTCATCCTCAAACTCAGCCTTTCCCAAAGGCTTCACAAACAATGCAGAGCTGATTGGTAAGTTAATTAGAAATGTTAAAGACACCAAGCAGTGTCAGAAGTCAGACGACACCAGTTTATTGTCCAACGGGTTTATTTGAAATCACAAGCTTTTGGAGCACTTCACCTGGTGAAGGGAGCAGCGCTTTGAAAGCTTGTGATTTCAAATAACCCCGTTGGACTATAACCTGGTGTCGTGTGATTTCTGATTTTGTCCACCTCAGTCCAACACTGGCACCTGCACATCATTACTTGCAATGATTTGATTAATAGGTAAAATGAAAATAAAGCCTGGAATAAAACTGTTAAATAATTACAGATTAAAATCATATCTAAAATTTTCAGATTGTCCAATAAGTAATGGAATTAGCTTGGAAATTATGATCAGTAGGGATGTATGTATATAGAACTTGCTTGTGTCAAATTTCTCTTTCTGCTATTTTATCTGAAATTATAATCTGTTTGTTTTAAATACGTTACTTGCAGAGAAGTTTGATAAAAAGCATGTCAAATATTTGAATGTCAATATTTACACAATGGTCATCTTACAATCAGGATATTTTAACTGCAATGAAAGGTTATATTAACATGTCTGGAATAGATAAAGAACACCACATTGGTAGCAATGTAACGCTGCTATTATTTCCCAAATGTGAAAAATCTAGGAACTGAGAAGTCTCGGCGACGATCAAATTATAATTTTTTTCCATAACTTACTATCAGCCTGTATAATTCAATAATTGTGAAATTATGACGTCTGCATTTGTGTTAAGATAACAGAGTCCAACTTCTCAGGACTTGGGCTGCAAAACATTACTGAAGTATGTAGCTTTAATCAGTCATGAAACTTGAAGACCTGCTTTGTTAATAATGTGACAGTACTGTAACAAAGGCATGTTCCATTTTCTGAAGTAAAATGTCTGTAGTAATTAGAATGTGAATACAGTTAAAATCAAGGGCTGTAAAAGATCTTTTCTATAACTGTGAGCAACAATTGTCGTCAATGGTTGACTAATGTCAGGGATTATACCCATTTTGGTAATATTGTACAATTTATTCAATTCTCACAAACCCATCTATATTATCCTCTTGATTATAAGGACAAGGTAGATCACCATTAAGATAGCCTCAATATCATTCAGAACTGATCTTTTTCTAGCATTTTGTTTTTCCAGGCTTATTTGAAACTGGTGAACTTGTCAGCGTGATTC